AGTGGAAATGGAAACTGTATCGGGTCCATAAACTGCACAAGTTTTTATTGGCGGCTTGAGATGCATTTTTGCCTTTATCGTAGTAGTACTGTAAAATATGCCGTATTTTCTCGTTATTTTGCTCCATGTTTGCGACGCTATAACTCACGAACCACTTAAAAGAAATGACGAATCAATCAAACACATGTTAGCGCGTGAAATGGCTTTCCAAAAAAGCATAGCATGACTCTATGCGACAAATAAAACTAGAACTACGCACCCTCAGCCCCAACTAGCGAAAATACCGCAAGACTTTTTTGCTCTTGGTGACAAAGATACTTTCAATTTAATTTTCACTTTTTCATTCCAAAAACATGTTTAATAATTTTTCTCATTTTCCGTCCTAAATAATAAATATGTAATCATAAAATACATGCAAAATAAAGCTGCACAAAAAAACCCATACACATACATATGCCTCAAAACTTTTTGACAGTTTCACATTTCAATAAATACATTTTGAGTGGGCACATAATCATATTTGCGAAAAATTTATTTATAAAATTTTTCAAAACTCTCAGTAGTGACTGACACGGTTATTTTAACATTTCTTTTTAGTTCGCTGGAAACTAAAAGTTGCAGGGTAAAAAAGGAAATTTAATCCGAGCACAGGAGCGAAAGTTTGTGACACATATAATTTGTTAATATGGGTACTATTTCGAATATTTGTATGCTACATATAAATATATGTATAAATATAGGATCAAGGGAAAGTTCTATTGAGCTTTTCATAAAAACATTCATTTGAAATGAACACACAGTTAAAGTTATACATCAAATGACCTATGCATTCGTTTAAGTGATGTATTTACTTGTACAACACGTTTTGTGTGGAATCACACATTAAATATATGAGAATAGTGAAATGATTTTGTCACGGTTTAAATTGAAAAAACGCTTCTATCTATATTTTAGTAAAAAAAAGTAAACTTCAGAGTGAGTTTAAAAAAAATCAATTTGGAAAATAACTTACATGCTAGTGGAGATATATTTATGTATGTAAATAGTTGCCATTTGTATGCATAAAGAAGTATGATTTAATGTATTTCATTTTACTCTTCACACTTACCAACTTTGCGAAGTAATTAAATTTTGCCGCTCAATGTTTGGTACTAACTTTTTCATGCAATGGCATTTGTTCATTTTCGCCATTTTGTGTTGCTCGATTTAGCGAAAATTGCACTTTTTTACAGATTAATACTTCGATAAGAACCGATGCGTTGCAGCTCTTGACATTTTTCTGCACAGAAAACATAAATTCATCATGTTATATTTGGTGCTCTTGCCTCAATAAAAAGTAGTATTAGAAAAGTATGAAAAACGCACACAAACAAGTATAAATATTTTATCTTACGTAGAATAGAAATATGAAAATTGTTTTTGACACAAATCATACCGGGAATATTTTTACAGGTCAAAAAATAAAAGTGGCATTATGACCAGCACATACAGCCTGAAATATATTTCGTGTACAAATCTACCTTTAAATGTACATATATATATATAAATATGAACATACTCGTTCATTGATGTAAGCATTTTTCGTACAATATTTGGAAAGTTACGATTACAACCAATTTGAACTTTGCTGCACTTCGATGTTATGTGCTACCTGTCGTATTTTCAGTTTTTATGGCTTTCTTGTAAAGTGTAACAAGTAGCAAGTAGCCATTAAATTCTATTTCTAAGTGCTTCATGCTCTATTTAACGATTGTGAATGATTAAATTAGAATAGTGAAACTTTAAAAAACATAACATTGTTAATTATTGATTTCCGAAATGTATTTGCTTTAAATAGCCTCAAAAATTTCCTTACTCATTTGAATAAATATTAATAATGGTCGCGTGAAAGAAATAACTAGGTAGATCGAAGAAGCTTTAGCATTGTGTAGGCTTTCGAACGTTGAGTCCAATAAACCATTTATTGCTCGTTCTACTCAACGATAATATCCATTAAGCATTTTTCGCTATAAAAAAATTACCTTACAAACAAATAAAATGGAAAAATTGCCTAACAATGTTGCTTGAAGGTATTGATCTGCTGATATTATATAAAAAAATTTGATAATATGACAGGATATAAAAAAGTGAAAGAGATGAGCGATTTAGTGCTCCTATCTTAGAATTATTCTGTATTCAAATGAGTTTCCCAAAATTAGTTCATGACTTCGAAAAAAATAAAAGAACCTTGCTAGAACTCAACCGCTAAGGTATTAGACAAATAACTTAAGTCTGTAAATTCATACATTTTATTTCACTCCGAATTTGACTTCCTTTTTAAACTATCGACTAATAAATCTAGCAGACCGAAAACTTAAATTAGGCTCATATGGAAGGGTGATAATTGATGACATGTTTAAACTAACGTAAATTGTGTGCAATATTATACAAGTATGTAGGTCTCTGTATATTTATATACTTTTTTATGTCAATTAATATACTTCGCTAGCATAGCTTGTGATAAATGATTCCAAAAAAAAATCATTAATTCTACCATGATAGTAGAGATAAGGACTAGAAGAAGTGTTACACAAAATACATATCTAAGCTTTAAATTAAATCTTAAGTCAATCGGATGATAAGAGTAAAGTTCGAAAAAATTATACTGGCAGAATATAGGGGCAGATATTACATCTTTCGGACGGTAGCTAACATGTTGGCATGATCTGATCTTTTGTTTAACATAAAATAGACTGAGCGACATCTATTGAATGATTTCACAAATATCACCAATGGAATTGCCTCATTTTCTTAAAAATTTTATACAAATATATGTAGGAAATAAGTAGACACTGGAATATTTGTAGTAAGAAGTATGTATTGATTCAGTTGTATTTTCATTCACATTCAAAAAGCAACTGTTCAGTTTTCATATTCGTCAAGTTGGGATTGACTACGGCTACAATAGCATGGTTGTATTCTTTTGTATTTATGTAGTTTAAGTTAAAAATGTAAGTAATAGTTGTTTAGTTAGAAATGTCAGTAAATAATAATATATTTATATATGTTAATAATAATATGTCTGTTCGCTTCGAGTCGTCCGTCCGTGTATGTCTCCGACATATATACATTGGCGTATATGTCGCAGGTTTCCACTGATGCAAGATCTATAGGGTTATACCTACCCTACACAGTTTCACCAACCCCACTATATAATTATCGTTTTATTTATATGCGTATATATATATATGTATAAATCTGTATACATATGAGTAAACCCATTCATGAACTGTAATTGTGCAACAGTCAATGATACTCCTACATACCTCACTAATTTTCTATTGAAAAATATATTTGTACGCTTTGCACGAACACATATATAAAATGCTATATCTACATTAAACAGTTGTGGTCAATTGAGCAGCCATTTACCAAAGTTAAAATAATTAGTTTTTTCGAAGTTCCCATGATCCATTGATAATTCGATATAATATCGAATCTGGACTGTATTCTAGGGAGACTGCAAATAAGTTCTGAGAGAAAAACTGAATTTTGAAGAGGATTCTTATATAAATGGAATGCTTAAGGGAGGAGCCTGATTTAGAAGCTTCAAAAAATCTTGCTTAAATCTCTTAGGAATTATCTATGAATATGTCCTCAAAGTTTTAGATTAGAATTTGAAATGCTTGCGAAGCTATAAGAAAATAGTGACCGAGCGTCTAGCAGATATATGAGCGATTGGGCAAAAAGAGAGAGCGCACGATTTCTCGGTTTTCCATTTTTTAAATTTTTCTTAATTGGCGGGCAGTTTATTATCTTCGGAATTAAATTATCTTCTATCTAAACTAAAAAAACTAAAAAAAGTCAAGTTTGAACACATTTTTAAACAAAATAAAGAGCATTTTTTTGTCAAAACCACTTTTTTTATTTTTAAAAAATTTCTGCAATTTTAAACCTTTTTTCGGAATATTTTTGGTTTAACTAGAAGATAAATTCTCTTTGAATTTTTGGTTTTCGATGGAAATTGCCAAATGCATCCTGACCGCCGTCCGACAAATGCACATGCGAGAAGCATTGGGCAATTGCTCCCTAAAGGCGGAATATCAAAGGTTTCGTTTTCAAAAAAAATTATGAGCGATGCTTAAACATATAGCTATAAACCCAAGAATTTCGCTTTAATTAATTATTTTATTCCTTCCCAAAAATATCCTCAAAAAATCGATTTTTTGAAGCCTCTAAGCCAGGCTCCCCCCTTAATTAAGGGCACTGCAATAAAAATTGATGAAATATAGATGACGTATAAAATTAATGAAATATAGATATCAAATGAAATTTAAACGCCCCTTGGATAATTTAAACTCTGTTGAGTATATGAATCACTATTCTTTAAAATTCTTAATGAAAATGTCACTTATACGCCATGTTGTACGAATATAAATATCGCCAACTGAAATGCAAAATAACGTATCATCAAAAAATTCGAAATTGAGTGATTTATTGATTATGCTTCACTACTGCAAATTACATACATAATATTACATACATATGTGTAACATTTTCAGGTTCTGTGGTCAGATATAAACCAGTTTTAACCAATATTAAAATTTTGTTACACTCATATCCCATTTTGTTTCATGTTTCATTCATGCCACTCTAAATTCCCGAAAATGTTGTTACGCTAGTTTGCATTTCAGGTGACCATATGTATTTTCTTTATAGAAATGTTTTTGCTATATAGTAAAATAATGTAATTGTAGCTTTCATCACTTCATAAAACAAATGTGTTAGTAACCATTATTTAACGGCTGCTGTGGTAATCATTGCTTACATGTATGCAGTCAATATTTACTGACTCCGATAGCTGAAGGAGCGGAAGCATAGAATCTTCATACATTCGGTGTGCGGTGTGCGCCATTCATCTCTGTCTGTTTCCGTTATATTTGCCTGCTTACTCCAAACCTACACTGGAAATTCGCCACGAGTAGCAGCAGTGGTACTTGTCATTTTAAGCCACCTTCGGCTCAGCGTGAATTTACATTAGCACCTTGCTTTAGCCATTGAAAACATTTAACTTCGAAACTACCGCCAGCGTTGCGTGCATTGACTGTTGCAATATTTTTACTGCCTCCGCTGATGTCGCTCACAGGGCTAACGCCACTGCTTTTTCTGTTATAGTCTTTCTGTTGAGGTGAAGGTTGCCTCTTTCACACTTTGATTTTGAACGAATAAATTCAGAAAATTGTGCTTTATTGCAATCAGCACTATTACGGTTTCATATGAAAATACCAATACAAACGCATATGTACACATTAGCATATATGCTTTGAATGGTGGAAAAATAAAAGAATGTTGAATAAAGTTAAGTCTATAGACGGTAACGAGCTTGTTGCGTTGGAACATGAAACTGAATATCAAAACATTGAATGAAGAGAAGAAGCAAGAAACATGATGCAAATTCAAAGAATTTAGGTTAATAGTATATGTATACTATATATATAAATAGTATATGAATTTTTTAAATGCAAAAACAAAAAACTTTAAAATATTTAATACTAAGGACGATACGTTGTGTTTCGGGTAGATGCAATTTTAAACTCCTAATAAGGATAATATGTTATGGTACACAAGTGATTATCCATAAAATGGTACGAAGAAACAAAAGTTATCAGTGCTCTAAAATGTTTGTTGATAACCAAGTACTTACCTATAACAGGTTATAATTAATAAAATGAAGGACCACATTTGGTGGATTGTTTCAGATATAATCATGATTTTAATAAAAAAAACTCTACGAATAAGTCCACCGTGTACTAGGCAAAATTAGACAAAGAATGTCAAGGTCTGCACCGAAACTATAATATAATTCACAGGAAAACGTTTGCTAGTTCTTTCTAACAATGCTTTTAGACATAAGCAACGTTCAATCTACATAAGAAAAACAAAAACTATTTTTTTTTCAATATCAATTTTTTTTCGTGACTTTGTTCTGCCAGTTTGAATCATCTAATCTGCTCAACATGTCTGCAAATTGTAGCCCTGCCTTGGAAAATAATCCGTGCCAAATTTCATGAAGTGTTCTTGTCAAATAATAAAGTTTGCCACACAAGAACACAGTCGATAATGTCCATTAGCCATCTAACAATTTTAAAACCATTTTAGACGACACGAAACTGGTCTTTCGAGGAAAATTTATTCGGATTTATATAATATCGTTTAACGATATTTGTACATCGGTCAGAATAAAGAAACTTACTCTCGAACTTTTTGATATAAATCGCCGATTCGTAGTTATTTTCTTGTTGACCACTTTTGGTTGAAAGAATGATGCAGCTTAATTTAAATCAACAAAGAACCAGTATTATTCAAACAAAATGTGAGATTCGGAATGGAGTTAAATTTCTTAAGACTGAGCAATAAAGTGCAACACATAAAACCACACTTTTTAATTTTTTCACCCTTTTCACCAGTATTCGATCCATTAAATACCATTGCCATTAGGGGAATGTTGGGCCACGTTTTGATTTCAGTTAAAAAGTCACATAAAAGTTATTTTTTGTGAAAATTCCAAAGCATGGATTTGTAGTGCGAGTCGTAACTTTCCTTTTGGTAACATTGGTTTGATAAAATTCTACAAAAATTTAAAAGTTATAGCCATTGG